AAAAAGAAAAGAAAAAAAAAGAAAAACGCCGAAGAATCACATGGGGAAGAAGATTGCTATCTATGAGTAGAGAGGTATACCATATGTTATGAATGATTTCACTTAATCTTCACATCGTGTATTGCGCCCTTCGCGTATACTTCTTTGTAATATTTATTTGAATTTCATATGTTATAACTCTGAATTAAGAGATATTTTTTCTTTGATGTCCTTCCATTTTGTTTTACTAGAATTGGCATTGTTATAAAGAGATAATCGTTTAAATATTATTATTTCTCATTTTGAAACTGACCTCCGTGCAACGCACGGGTGAAGAAGAAGCAGAAGGTTGTGTCTGGTTGTGTCTGTTCTTTTTATGAGTTCAAAAAACGTAGGAAAATTAATTGGTCATGGGCCAATTAATTAAATATTTGGTTTGGGCCAAATATTTTATTATTTAGATTTGGGTCAATTAATTTGACTAATTACTAAATGTCCTCAACAGTAATATTTGTGGACATCTAAACCCAAACTAGTCCTATCACTCGGGCCCCTCGAAAGTAACTTTGTAGACTGTAGTTTGCTAAAAAAACTTGAATTTTGTTTTGCTAATAAAATAACATGGGAGTTTTTTAACAATTACAGAAAAACAGGGGTGCCGAATGCAATTAACACTGGGATAATAATATAGGGCAAATTACGGACAACCCCCTGAGGTATAGCCAAATTACGAAAAAAATCATCTTGTTTGGGTAATTACAGCCACCCCCTATTTTTAAATATTTTTACATAAAATTTGAATAATTCGGTTATTTACCGAACCGAATCGTATCGTATATTCATTTTGGTAAACGGTGTGAAATGTTGGCGTACCGAAATTTCGGTTCGGTTTTACCGATTTAACATCCCTAATTTTACCTTTGAAGGGATAAATCCGTAACATAATACATAGTTGAGGGGTGGCTGTAATTACCCAAACATGAGGGGGCCTTTCGTAATTTGACCTTAACTCACGGGTGTGGCCGTAATTTACCCTAATAATATATGCAGATCCAACACCAAGATTCTATTTTGGGGTTTGATGTTTACAGGCTAAGTACAATCTGATGAAATAACATGTTTTTTTTTTCAATTTTTTATTTAATTTTGAAATGCAATTCTTGTTGTCTGACACTAATTCTTACAAGAATTATTAAACTTAGTAATTTTATTATAGTATGTTTGTACTTTATGGATCATGTGGAAGGTGGACTACTGCTTATATATGATGTGATATTTATTACAATTGCTAATGGTGGTCCAACATACAGTTGCTATTGTCTCTGTGGTCTCACCATTTAAATTAAAAATTAAATTAAATAAATATGTAAAAAAAAAAAATTAAATTAAATTAAATAAATAAAATAAATAAAAAATGGACCACTTAACAACAACCAGCCCTTAAGTCACAATCATCTTTTTATTTCACTAAATAGACAACCAGCCCTTAAGTCACATTATGCTTAAAGTTTCCCAACTATTAAATCATTTTTTTTCTCTTTTTCTTTTTTCTACATCACAATATATCTTTGCTTCTGGTACAGTTGCTTTTCTATACAGTGATGTGTATCGGACAACCGGAGAAACGATAACGATAACGATAACGATAACGATAATGATAACGATTACGATTACGATTACGATTACGATTACGTTCTTATATATATATATGATATAATTTCTAAAAAATAGGTACAATAAATTATGTAACTATACATGAGATGATACAAATCAAACACACATATATATAATATATCATGAAGAAAAGAATGCCTCTGCTGCTACAACTATTTATATATTTGCCTGAAATCCCCTCCGACGACTTAATAAACGGTACCTAGGCTATCGTTAAAAAAAATAAAAAAAACCGAAATTTTTATTAGATAAATGTAATTAAATAAATAAATTATTACATTGGAATAGGACCATATGTATATAGAAAAAAGCTGATGCAACTCACCTTATCTAGAACTATAAAGAGAAGGACCATATATTGATTCTTTTTGTAACTAATGAAATCCAGCATTGAATAGACTTGGCCAATCGGATTCCCAACCCGAAAGCTGCTGCAGTTGCTGCAATTTAAATCCGATACGAAAATTAGGCCCGATAAATAAATTGCTAACTGAATAGAGTTTATTTCATTTAGTACTGCTGTGTTATATCAAATTGCTAAAAAACTCCCGTATTGTAACTACTAGCGAAAAGCCCCCTAAAGAGTGAGTTTCTATGGGTAGTTTGCTAAAATAAATTGAATCGTAGAGGGGTTTTTTAACAATTAGAGAAAACACGGGGGTGTTGAATGCAATAAATGCTAACGGGATAAGCTAAGAGTTAAAATAAAATTACGGAGATAAAAGACGGATCAAGAAGCGCGTTTTCTGCTTTATTATGAGGCAACATTTGGGATTGATCCAACGATATGTCACCCCCGCAGTTCGAGGTTCCTTGTTGCATTGTGTTGTAATGTAAGCATGTTGCTTCGAATTGTGCGGCTTGTAAACTCGAAATATACGCGGGTATCTTCAAGAAAACACACGTTTCAATCACGAGTTAGTAATTAAATATGTGATTAACAACTTCGTTTCGCGTTTTAACATATGTCGATGGTAATTATGTACCTCTTTGGCGAAGATGTCATCAACGTTGAAATCGAGCCTCGGATTTACGGTTGCTAATTTCATCGAAAGGAACTGCAAATTATACAAACAATAATAATTGGTAAGTGTATAATTTATTTAGCAATGATCAATGCAAATAATAATTCCAATAGCGACAAATATAGTAGAACCTCGATAAATTAATAATCTAGCTCAAATAATAATTTATCCCGGTCCCGACTCGGTGAAAACGTACTACATTATTATTTTGATAATTTAATATTTCGCTAAGTTAATAGAATTTCGCTAGTACGGTCTATATTAATTTATAGAGATTTAACTGTAATAACAATATATACCTCGACTTGCTTTTGAAGCGACTGGACATAGTTAATGATTTCGTCGAGCATTCCGGCCTTACCGGTAACTTTATTACAACCCGGGACTAAATCTTGAAGACACTTCATCTTCTTACTAATTTTCTCCCTTCTTGCCTGTTAATAAGAGTTATGAAATTAAATTTACAGTTAAACCTCTATAAATTTATACAGCAAGGACCATACATAAATTTATAGGGTCGGGAAAAACTATTAATCTAAACGATGCTATTAATTTATCGAGATTTTACTGAATGTCTTATTTTATATATATATATATAATTTAAATTGCAAGATAATTAATAAAATTAACATACTCTTTCGGCTAAGCTGTGGCTATCAGTGGCTTGGCCCCGTCTCGCCCGAACATGAATATAATCAGGTTTTTGAACCTCGGAAACTTTGGAGCTTTCCTTCGAACAAGTGTTTCCGGAAGTTTCCATTTCGGTTTTCGCGGTGATCTCCGATTTCTCTTCCTCTGCTTCAACTATATTTTCGCTGTTTTCTTCCATATCGAACTGAGATTTATAACACGAACGAAACAAATAATAAAAATTAAAAAAAAAAAAAAAAAAATCAGATCCCATAAATAACACAAGTATTATTATTGTTATTATTGTTATGAAACCTGTGCTTTTCTTTTTTCTCTATTGATCAAGCTACTACTGTTGCATTGCCATTCGGGTTTCGGGATTGAGTGGTAAGGGAAGTGGTGAGATAGATCGACGGCGGAGAGGAGGTCCACGTGGCGGGTGTCTTGGTTGTGCCAAGAATTGGTCTGTTCTTGATAGAGGCGGCGGTGGTGGAGTAAGGCGGAGCTCTGCTTTTGCTCCATGAGATTTTTTTCAGAGGAAGAAGAAGATGATGACGTGGATGGTGATGATTGGTGGAGGCGTAACATTAATTAGAAACCTAGGAGTTTGTCAAGCGAAATGTGAGGGTTGCCTGAATGGAATATATAAGGGGGTGCCGGCCAAACTAGAGACTGGCTAGAGAAGACAGAGAATGGGAAGTCACTGGCACATGGCCCGCACCAACGCCTGCTGCCCGCTCGCCGCGCCCGCCGGAAAGCGCGCTCCCCCGTGGAACCCAACGTCCATT